CCAGGTGAAGCTGATGCCATTGGTCCACGGACCACATTTTGAGTAGCAAGCATCTACAGTTGAGAATATTAGTTGCTTGACATGCTTCAAGAAAGATTATTGTGGCTAATAAGTTAGGCATCCTCCATACTGTGACTTCTTCTTGGAATAATTGACATCGGTATATTAAAATGATCTGAAAAACTGAAGATACTATAAAAAGAAAACATTAATTCCCACACTGTGTAATCACACCATCCTTTTTAAAAGTATGGAGCTTGTGAAATGCCAGATTTGCAGTTCTGTAGAGCATCATAATGGATGTAGTCTGTATGGTAGTGCTCAGAAATTATGGAGAACAGGAGAGCTCTGTAAAAGAAAGACATAAAAATCTGGGTGATGCTGGGGTTGGAGGGGTAGAAAGCTGAGAGGGAGGGAGAGGGGCAGAGAGAAAGATTTTAATTCACACAATGTGGCAGGATGTGAGACCTTCCCAGGTAGGGCTTGAAACATTCCAAAAGTCTGGAAATGACATGCAAGAGAATTTGTTATGGAAACCTGGAAAGGGTGAGTTTCACATTTGGGATATCAGTTAGACCCTGAGAGAAAGCCAAGGAAATAGGCAGAAAAATTTGGGAAGACACTGGGATTTCAAAAGCTGCATAATTGAGTGGTTTAAATGCATCCTACCTAGATCCCCAGAGGCAGGAAGACCCAGCTGATATCTGATGTATAATCATTAGATATTTGTTGACTGGTGAACTTACATGTTTCTTAACTTAGTGGAGTCTCATTCCCTCTTGTAGCAGATGGGGACAAGAATACTTACTTCTCAGTGCTGTTGTGAGGATTAAATTCAGTCACTAGTATGGCATTATGTAAAAATGTGAATGTGTAACCTATGTGATTCTGCAATCTGTATTTGGGGTAAAAATGGGAGTTCATAACTCACTTGAAACTATTGTTCGAAGTATGATATGTCAAGAGCTTTGTAATGTTGTGAACAACCAATAAAAAAAAAAAGAAAAAAAAAAAAGAAACACCAATTGGTGACCAGAACACATAAAAAAAAAAATTCATATACAGCACAAAAGGAGAGTATCTGGCGTGTAAAAGGGTAAATTAAGTTACCAACACTCTTATTTCATCATTCTAAGTATACTATCCAGCAGAAGGTAGGTGCTCAAATGGTACATGTTGTTCATAAATATAGAAAATTTTCTTTCCATGATAAATTTTAACCTAGTATGAAGCAATGTATATCTTTTTAAAAGTGTGCCCTCTCACTTTCTGATTTCAACGGAAAGGAACACTAATAAGACAAATTGCCTGAATTATTATGAATTGGGATTATTATAGTAGTAAGTTCCTTTTACTCACAGTAGCCTTAATATTATCAAACCTATGAGGCCCTGGAGACACATTGGCCCTACACTGTTGTAAGATATTGTGCAGAAATATCACAGTCCATTGATGGTTACAATCAGACACTCACAAGTTTGATTGAGATAAAGAGGCAAAGAAGACAGCAGGGGAAAAAAAAATCTATGCATTTTAGAAAAATGTGAATAAGCGAGCCACATGAGGAAAATGTTCTTTTTCCTTGAGAGCATTTCAGAAAATGGAATGTTCTACACTGGCTGCTCCTTCCCTCTATATTTGAAGACATGACAAGTTCAGAAAGGAAATAATGAACCTTTAGCTTTGGCCTGTCTATGACCTTCAGCAGAGGTTAACTGAGATGGAAAGGGAAAAGTACCAGATCTTCTCCTGCATGATTATAGTCACATTTCCCAACCTTTTTTGCATCATTATGAAGTATTAGAGCTAACCATAAAAAAGGACTGGATTTATGAAACTCCTCATAACTCAAACAAGAGCCAGAGAACTATAAAAGTTTGAACCCAGATTTTCTTTTACCTTGTGTGTGTAGTGAGGTTTCTGAAGCATGTTCACTTACATTATCTCATTTGATTCTCATAACAACTCTGTGAGGCAGGCAGGCATATTGCCCTCCATTTTATAGAGAAGCACACTGAAACTCTGAGTAAGGATTTCAGCCAAAACCACATGGTTAGAAAGAGCCAGAAATGTGCCTAAGAATTCCAGCTCTTTGTCTTCTGCTCCTTCCACCATATCACACTATCTTGGTCCATGAATCCCCAGGGTAAAGGTAAAGGGCAAAGGCAGCCTATGTACCTCCAGGCCCTGCATTGTGCTAGCCACAGGCTTGGCTGTTCTTATGTGAAACACATGCCAAGATGACATTTATCATGTTGAATGTGCATGTAAAAGTGACACTCGGCTTGAGGGGGACTGGGTCACATTCATAAAAAAGGTAACCACAGATGAATTTCAGCCTTATTAGAATCATGCATTCTTTCACGAGAAAGGCACTATTTTATGAGACATTACTATTATTACTTTGAATCACATTATATTTGTTACAATGAAAATAAATTAAGCCTGTACTATTATTTAAATGGTTATATTTTATAGACACAGTTTGAAATATCTTAAATAATTTTTTCCTTGAAAGTTATTAGAGAATTACCTTTTTCTTTCTTTCTTTTTTCTTTTCTTTTTTTTTTTTTTTTAAGGATATGGAACTAACTACATGTCTCACCAAGGTCCTTCCACAGATAACACTGAAACAGCTTTATCCTCTACACTTTTGAAATTTGTAAAATTAAGGGAATCCAGAATGTTTAACAACTCTTGGGTTCTTTTTATAAAATCACAGCCTAGACTTTTATATTAAATGTAAGATACACATACAGAGACAGAAAATATGTGTGTGCATGTATATACATGCAAATATATTTTCTTTTTTTCACAATTAAAAACTACAAAAATTGTGAAGAAGAAATTTTACATTTGTTTTTCGTATATATTTTATAAAGGAAGAAAAACATGTGAATGACCAAACTGAATACGATTTGTGAAGCTTTGTTTTCTTCTTAAAAGGCAATAAACATTTGAAGGCATCTACTAAATGTTTCCGTTTTAAAACTTCTGGAACATTAACATTTAAATCCTCTTATTTGGAATCATATGATATGAAAAAAAGAGTTTAATAATACCTTCTTTTGTAATTTAAGGTTAAAACACTACTATTTTTTTAATTATATGAAGATTTTTTTTAAACACTACTGTTAAACTTGCAACTATTTTAACTTTAAATAAAATTTGCTCCAAACACTTCAGTGAGTGTATGGTGGTGGGGAATGGGAGAGATTGTAAAGAGGATGGGTAGGAGAGGATATGAGATAGGATGGGACACATTTATTTGACGGGGAATCTAAATGTGTACATAAAGACCAAGAGATTAAAATTCAAGTTTGTTTGAGAAAGGTTCTGTTTTTCCCTTTTTTTTTTTTTGATTTGGAGATATGGTTTATTTGTCTTTGCCGCATCTATCCTATTGCTATTTCAAGTCTGATGTATACCTCAAAGGATCACAAGCAAAGAATTCTAGTTATAGGTGCTTTGTGGGTGGGAAGGAAGTAGGTTTCAACCTAAGCATTTATGTGGGAGATGTCCATTGCTGAATTAGAACTTTCTGAGCATCACAGCTTTGACATTATATCCAGTTTATAGGACCAGCACACATGTATTTCACTGGAGACAAGGCTTCTTACTATATTTTTGAGATTTTTTTTTAAGTACTATATTTTTGAAGTACTTGACAGATACCACGATAATTTGGGGTCTGTAAATTGGATTTTGATCATTCAGAATCATTACACAATCTGTTTCAGAAAAGCAATTTCTATAGCCTGTGCTGGAACCCAGGCTGGGAAGGGTGAATACAGATTATTGTCCTAAAAATATCAGAATGTTTCTGATGATATTCTTATGAATATTATAATCTTTTTAGTTATGATTTGTTATGATTTTTTTGTTTTAGTGTATAAATCTTTCAAATTAATGAAGAGGATCAAGTTGTTTCACATACACATGTACACAAAAATGTACATCCCCACATCAAATTCAGAACTTCACATCATAAACAATGTATAGGCTGCTTGCATTTTTAAAAATTTTTAATATTTCTTTTCAGTTGTAGATGAACACAATGCCTTTATTTTTATGTGGTGCTGAGGATCAAACCCAGTGCTTCACATGTACTAGGTAAGTGCTCTACCACTGAGCCACAACTCCAGCCTGGCTGCTTGAATATTTAAGACCACAAAATGCAGGGATCCTGGGTTCATGAATGATTGAAATTGTTTTAAAAATATTATGTGTATGATAAAATCTTGGAGTTTGTGTACTTGTGTGTGTGTGTGTGTGTGTGTGTGTGTGTGTGTGTGCCATAGACTTCATTAGATTGTCAAGACACTTCTATCCTCCCAGAAGAACACTGACAACTAAGCAGAACAGTTTACATGAGACTTAAAACAGAAGGACTTAGAAACCATATTCTAGTACTTTTCTCCATCATTCTCTGCATATTCTTTCCCACCTATCTGCTATGCCTAGGTTTCTTCTTGGACTTATGCCTGAGCAAATTAATAATGGGAGACATCCAGAATGACACATGCCTACACTTTAATTCTGAACAAGCCTGTACATTGTTTATGATGTGAAGTTTTGAATTTGATGTGGGGATGTACATTTTTGTGTACATGTGTATGTGAAACAACTTGATCCTCTTAATTAATTTGAATTTCAGTTGACCTTCCTGATCTTGTAAACACCGAAGAAAGGATGGAAATTTTTCCTGTTCATTCTTATTTTTAAACCAAGAACCTAGAATTTTAGGTCTGGATATGGAGCTAAAGCAATCAAACTTAAAGGTGTTCACTGAGCAGGACCCAAAATCTGCTCAGCAAAAGTGACAGCAGCAGCAACAATAACAAAAGCGAAAACAAAAATATCTTTTCAGATCTGGATTCATAATTTCTTGATTTTCCTATTTAAAAAAAAAAACTTACATTTTCAGGGGTAGGATTCCTAAGTATTTTAACACTAATTAGCTTTTTTGCTGCTGTGACAAAAAGATCTGACAAGAACAATTTTAGAGGAGGAAAAGTTTATTTGGAGGCCCAAAGGTCTCAGTCTATAGACAGCTGGCTCCATCCCTCAGAGCCTGAGGGGAGGCTGGACATCATGGCGGACAAGTGTGGTAGACAGAAGGGGCTCAAAACTTTGTGCCAGGAAGGTGGTGGGAGAGAAAGGGGTGGGGAGGGAGGGAGAGAGAAAGAGACACTCCACTTAACAGATACAAAAGTATATCCCAACAACATGCCCCCAATGATTCACTTCTTCCAGTCACATCCTCTCCAACCCTCAGTTACCATTCAGTGAATCCTTATCAGGGGATTAATTCACTGAGTAGAGCTCTCATAACCCAATCATTTCACCTCTAAGCCTTCTTGCATTGTCTTACACATAAGGTTTTGGGGACACCTCACATCCAAATCATAACACTAATTAACACTGAAATATCACCTGGTTCCAACCAGGCAGGAGAAGGAAAGAGAATATCTGTCATTGCGTAGGCCCCAGTTGTGATGCCTTCTTGTCTTCTGTGTTTCTATAGTGTCCAATTCTTTATTGTATGTTACCAATTTGCATGCTGTCCTCTCTCTAAAGGGAGTAAAAAAGGAAGAAAAGAGAGAAAATTGTGAGACCAGAAGGCTACATTTCAAATGGACTAAGATCTCTGTATTTTTATATCTCAATTGGATTGTATAAGTATTTTTACCCTGGATTTGCTTTATAAATATTTAAATTGCTACCTTCATCATGACTCTCAATAAACTAAATTCACTTATGGTTTTCATAGATTAGGAAGTTATATGCATTCACTAAACATAATCTTATACATTTTAAATAAACTTATTGGTATGAATAGCATATTTTTCTGAATATTTTTGTAATCAGTTGTTTTGAAACTCAAAAGTCCCAATGTTAATATCATCCATAATTATTCCTCTACAACTTATGCTGTTATGTATTATGTAAGAAAAGCTGGTAAAAAGATTAAAAAAAAAAGAGTCCTCAACTTGAATTAAGTAAGTGAGAGATAGAACAAATTATAGTACTTATGTTGGAAAAGCTATTTTTCAGCTTTTGAATTTTTTAGTTATGGCATGACTAAGAAAAAATTGAACGCCTACATAGCAGCATACACAATGGATTTTAGTTAGGGAAATTAGTTTTAGCAAAAGACAACTGGAAATGATTTTTTTAAAAAAATGACCCCAAACCTTTCTCTCTACTTATTTCTTATCTAGCAAAACCCTAGTCCTCCAACTCTCCTTGCACTCTCTGCCTGTGGTAAACAGCTAAGTGGGTTAGGAAAAAACACAGGTTGACATCTTCTTAAATAGAGAAACACTCATTGGTTTCATCTTAAAATTTGTGTTCACTGGTTTTACTTGGGCCTTCAGCAATCCTACTACATTTATGTTGTCAATTTGTTCTTCTGTTTTCTAAGCTAGCAGTTTCACACTCATATTTTTTCCTTTTTTCTCCACATTCCAATACTTCTACCTTTATTCTCAGCCAATGACCTTGCTTCTAATTTCAATACAAGATTGAGAAATCAGAAGAGAATTATTTCATCTTACTGCTACCAAATCTACCCCCAAGTACTCTACCTATTCTTCCTTTATCCTGGGAACCCCTTTTCCTATGCAAGGCCAAATCCTCTACTTTCATGGTGGTTCCCATTCCCTGGAGATCATTATGGGACTTCACTTCTGCAGTCATCCTACTTTTCTTGTATCTTTAGTTGCTACTTTTCTATTAGATCATTTTCATCAGCATAAATAAAGGCTATCATATCTTGCATTAGAACCCATATCCAAAATGTTTTCCCATTTCTTTGCTCTACCCTGCAGTAAAACCTTCAAAATGCTTCTACATCCAGATTCTTCACTTGCCTCTTCACTACTTTTCCCAACCCTCTCCTAAATTAAGGTTGTCTTCTCCATTGTTCCAGAAGAATCATCTTGTCAGAATTCCCAGCATTCTCCTTCTTGCTAAAGTCAATTCTTAGCTCTCAAGTTTTTTGGCCAGTCAACAGCACTGACACAGGTCTTTCTTGAAACACATTCTTCTGTCTTTGATTTCTGAGACACAGTGCTCTAATAGTGTTCTTGCTACCTCAGGAGGTTTCTTTTTTAATCTGCTTTCCTGGATTTGCTCTTTCATGTTTAAAAGGAGTCCCCACATTTAACATTTTACCTTTTTCTTCAACTTCTTAGGTATTTGTATCCCTTTGATGATTTTAAATCTTTATGCTGATGCCTTCCAAATTTATGTGTCCAGACTCAAACTCTCCCTGAACTCCACACTTCTGTGTTTAACTGCCTACTTATCTTTACTTGAGTGATTGATAGACATGTCAGCATCTGTAGTGAAGAAAAGTAGCCAAAACCATACCTCCACATTATGACTGAATGTTTTTATCTCCCTTTTATCCAGATTTATAAGTTGAAACCCCAATCTCCAATGCAGTGGTATTTGGAGAGAAGACTTCTTGGAGGTTATTAGAGTTATGAGAGTGGGTCTCTGGTATGATGTGATCAGTGTTTTTTTTTTTTTTAAAGAAATGTTGAGTGCTGTCCCCCTCCATTTGTTCTCTGTCTCTGTGTCTTGTGAGGACACAGAAGGAAAGTGGCAATCTATAAGTCAGGAAGAGAGCTCTCATCAGGAACCTAATTGGTCATGACTTTGATCTTGCTTTTTCCAGCCTCCAGAACTGGAAAAATAAATTTCTGTTATTTAAGCCATCCAGTGTTTGGTATTATGATAGCCCGAGCTGGTTAATTCTTTTTTCCTGCCAAACTTCTCCTTCTCTGGCTACCCCATTTTGATAAGTGGCACCAATCCACTTAGGCCAGAAAGCCAGGAGTTATCCTTGGCTTTCTTCCCCTTACTCCCTATGTGAATTAACCAACAAATCCTACCAAATCTTAACAATATATCCAGAATCTTGACCATTTCTTTCCATCTAAACTGCAACCAGTGTAGCCCAAGACCCTTATAACTTTAGCATAAACTGTTACATAGTTTTCTAATACCATTTTTCTGATACCATTCTTCTTTATTCTCAACCCTTATCCGAACACCACAGTCTTCACCTAGATATCTTTTAGAAAAGTCAGAAAATGTTACTTCTTTTGCCTGAAACCTTTATTGACTTCCCAGGACATTCAGAACAAGGACCAACTGTCTAACTGTGACCTAAAGTCCTTAAATTTTGGGCCACTGTTTGTAGTTTCATCCTTCTGATTTTTGTTTATTGCTCCACTCTGGAAACACTTGCTGCTTCTTTGTGTGTTAATCTTGTTCCTGTCTCCAGGATTCTTTCTGATTTTTTTTGCAAACCCAATCGCTCATTTCATTTAGGTCTCTGGTCAAATGTTATCTCCTCAAAAAAAAAAAAAAAAAAAAAAGGATTTGGCCGGGGTGGGGGGTGTTGGAGTGGGTACTGTGGATTGAACTCAGAGACATTCAACCACTAAGCCACATCCCCAGCCCTGTTTTTTTTTTGTTGTTAGAGACTGGGTTTTACTGAGTTGCTGAGTGCTTTGCAGTTGCTTTGAACTTGAAATCCTTCTGCTTCAGCCTCCCAAGCCACTGAGATTACAGGCGTGGAAAAAAAAAATCTTTCTTGAGCATTTTATCTAAGTCACTACTCTATCTCTTTCTCCCTTACCCTTCTCTATTTGTATCCACAGTATTTATAATAATTTATTTTTAATTATCTCTCTCTTCTATCAGAATATAAACATCATGAGGACAAGATCTTTGTCTCCCCCCCCCCGGAATCCTAAATCTCAAAGGACCCCCAAAAAGACCACATACGTAAAAGGTAAGTGTTGAATGAGTAAATGAATGAATAAATGAACAGTTTCAAATGTTTTCCAAAAAATGTAGAAATTTCTATCTATGAGTTTTAAGGTCTGAAATCTGTTTTCAAAAATGTGTTCTTTAAGGAGAACAATAATAATAATACTCTCCCCCCCCCAAAAAAAAAACCCTATAAATAAAGGGCCACAGCAGTCAGGGCTAATTCTTGCAAATTTCAAAGTGGCAAAGGGACGGTATCAACACAGCTTACAATCATGGTGATAAAGTGAAGTAAATGGAGAAAACAAACTTTCTTTTTTTCTTCTTTTTTTTTGTATCCTTTGTGCAAAGCAGGATGAAAGATGTTGGCTGTCCTCCACCAACCACAGTCTTTTCTCCACCATACCTTTGGAATTAGTTGTCACATCTCATTTGGGTTTTTCTCAAGAGTGTTCTGGACTGCTATTGTTCCCAGGAGTCCAGAAGGATTTGTTCCTCTCCCTCGTAGCTGTTAATTTTCCATTGAGCCAAGTTTAACTGCATTTATCTTCCTTTATCATGAATTTCAGTATGTCCCCCCAGTAATATCATGCATCATTCCCCCAAAATGCAACATCTTCTCCACAGAATGCATCTCTTATCATTGTTCTTACCTGGCCTTATAGTGTAAAAAATGAGTATGATAACATCACTGAAATAAGACCATAAGACATGTTTAAATATTACTTTGAAGAAACAATCAGGACTTTTCATTCAGCTGTGAAAATAGAATAAACTAAGGTATATTTGATTTAATAAGCAGTGGATCTAAAAGTTACGCTAAGTGGTTTATCCAATCACAGCCTCAAATACATCTCTGGTCACTGACTGGATATAATTGGTAATAAGAATAAACAGGCAAGCACCAAAAATATTACATTTAAATTAATCAGCCATTTAAACAAGCAAAACCATTGTGGACTGTATTTGGTTATAATATTGTACATCAGTACCTTCAAATGACATGCTAGGACAAATGTTCAGAACAACTAATTCTTTCCATGGTTGCTAGGTTGGCCTTGAACAGCAAAAGGCAACTGGATTTATTTTGTTCTGGCAGCAGCTCAGTGGGAACATAAACTAGCAATGCTAGGGAACAGAAGGTCTATGAAGAAAAGGAAGATCTACTCATATACTATACTAAACCCTCAAATGCCAACTACACTTAAACCAGAAGCAATGTGAATGGTAAACACTAACATTTTCAAAGAATTGTCTAATATTCATGGCAGAATCTATAAAAGGTGACTTTGAATAATCCCTTCCCAGAAAACCTGTAAAAGTTTTATAAAATATGCTGCAAAAATGACTCACAGTAGATGTAATTACTGTGCAACCTTGGAAACTGATGTAAAAAATTCAGCTGGCAGCATGTTAACAGCCACCTAATATATGGGTTGTTTGATTGGACTCTTTGGGCAAAACTGCAAAATTCCTAACCCATTGCTGCTATATATTTTATCAGGGCCAAATTTAGCTACTTTCATTTTTTAAAATGCCATTTTAGACATCACAGTGAATCAAGTCAGTGTTACTTAATTGCTTGCATACATTACAATCTAATCCATTTCCCCAAACACTAATTTAACTAGTTATTATTTATTTTTATTTTTTAGAACAGCAGCAGGGTTTTAATGCCTGAACTATGAAATTTGGCAAAATCATTGCTTTCTTAAACAAAACAACATACATACCCACCAAAAAAACCAACCAAACAAACAACAACATCGATAGCAACAACAACA